GAACTGGGTAAGTGTTGTTTATCATATAGTGATTTTATTTCATAAATATAAGTTTATATTCATCATTTATTTCGGATTTAGATGAGAGAAATTGGAGTTTTTGTAAAACTTTCCAAAAACGAAAATTTAAGATTTGAAGGTCCATTTGACATCGGAATTTGATTGTTTTTATATGGTTGGACTCGTCCCGGAACAGGTGTTCAGATTTTGTAAGTTTTTTCGAGATTCGAGACGTGGGTCCTACTGATGAGTTTTGAGATAAATTTTGGATTTTATTCCGAAAAATTATTAAATTCATATGGAATTAATTCCTACGATTTATATTGAGTATATTGAATTGTACGCCGTCAAATTAACCCTTAAATTAATTTTTATGTGAAATGCATGTGAATGGCGTATGGGCAAGGTGACGAGTGTCTATACGCCGTCAAATTAACTGTTTGCATAATTGCTTGAAAAATCATATATCGTTTTAAATCATAAATTAATTACTATATTAATTGTTTCTCTCGTGTTCTTTGCTCAATATCATGCCTTGAATCCATGCTATAATTGTTACATGCTTATTTGATTTATGTGACTTAATTGCCACTTGACGTTTAGCATACTAATTATTAAAATGCCTATTACATCCTTAATTTTCATAATTAATTGCTACTTGTCATCATTTATTTCTAATAAATTATAATTATTTTATGCTTGTTGTCTGGTAATTTCATATTAATTGTTGCATTTAGTGGAGTTATTTCTTTTATAAGAATTGGTAAATGAAAGTGAATATATTGGAGGAACGGGTTCACACCGCAACAAAATTGATTTAAGTGAATATATTGGAGGAACGGGTTGCACGCCGCAACATAATTGATTGAAGTGAATATATTAGAGGAACGGGTTGCACGCCGCAACAGAATTGATTGAAGTGAATATATTGGAGGAACGGGTTGCACGCCGCAACATAATTGATTGAAATGAATATATTGGAGGAGCGGGTTGCACGCCGCAACAGAATTGATTGAAATGAATATGTTGGAGGAGCGGGTTGCACGCCGCAACAAAATTGATTAAAATGAATATATTGGAGGAGCGGGTTGTACTCCGCAACAGAATTGATTGAAAAGATATATTGGGATCGGGTTGCACGCCGCAACAGAATTGAATATGAATATATTGTGGGATCAGGTTGCATGCTGCAACGGAAATTGATCGAAATAATAATTGATTATGACTGCTGAGTTGGCTTCAACTGTTAAAATGAGTTACCTGATTTATTTCTATTATTGTTGTTATTACTATTATTGCGTACAGGTTAATGTAAGTGACCTACCTTAGCCTCGTCACTACTTCGTCGAGGTTAGGCTCGGCACTTACTAGTACATGAGGTCGATTGTACTGATACTACACTCTGCATATCTTGTGCAAATTTCAGAGTTGGTCCCAACGGCGTACTATAGATTTGCCCAGATACAACTACCAGTGGAGACTTGAGGTATAACTGCACAACATTCGCAGTTCGGAAGTCCCCTTCTATCTTATCTCAGTCGTGTATTATATTTCAAACAGTTTGAACTTTATTGAGACATTTATTTGTATTATTCTAGAAGCTCGTGCACTTGTGACTCTAGTTCTGGGATGGTATTTAGATATTGCAATTATTATGGAATATTCACTTTATTTCAGATTTTATTTCCGCATTTGTTTTCTTGTTATTAATTAATTTAAAATTTTGTTAAAAATGGCTAGTTATATTCTAATGTTGGCTTGCCTAGCAAGTGAAATGTTAGGCGTCATTACGGTCCCGAAGGTGGGAATTTCGGGTCGTGATAGTTGGTATCAGAGCACTAGGTTACATAGGTCTCACGAGTCACGAGCAAGCTTAGTAGAGTCTGAAGGATCGGTACGGAGACGTCTGTACTTATCTTCTAGAGGCTACAAAGTTTAGGAATAATTCCGCTTCTTTCATTCCTTATCGTGTGACATTGATTTAGCTTGAAACATATATCTCATATTCCTTTGTATCCATTCGTGTATGACATTGCACACTCAATATCAGTTGTGCGTCAACGGTTCGTGATGCCGCAGATGGACTACGAGGGAGCCAGAGATTCTCAAACACTGCCTCAACGTGTGGTTCCGACTAAAGATGCGGACGTATTGAGAGATCACCCAGTGAATCATGTGGGGGTGCAACGGACCTCGGCATCTGGTTGATTTATATGAGCTGTGAAGGTTAATATTATGGATCATCGGACGTGGTGAACTATGATTTTGCGCCGAGTGGCAGAGTCCACTATCAATGGATGGATTGCGGGGTCATGTGTTATATCAGTTTTGGCCTGAAATGTATATATGTAATACTAAAAGGTTCCCCAAAGATTTACACATGTTTAAGGCCTGAGATTTTGTAGAGGATAAGGTTGGGACTTGCGGTATGTCCGTCTACTGAATAATCCTATACTTCAGTACCAAGGAAGTTAGAGAAACAACTTTAAATTTACAGAAGGTCTACTCAGCGTGGACGTTATGGTTGTAGATTTTGGGGTGCTTCGAAGGAAATATAGTGGTTGACGAGATTCTGGACTGTGGTTCATGCCAAGATTTGTCTGTATGGATCTCTACTTTTTTGATCGTTGTGTATAAATAGGGGTAAGGGTTACCCCAAATAAGTATCGAAGAGTATGTTAAGAAATGGGTCAGCTCAACAGTGTTGAGGCAGCATAACAAAAGAAGAAATTGGCCTTGGGAGAGATAATTCTCCACAGGTGTACGTGGCAAACCTATGAAGAGGGAAGACCAGCCAATGCAACACCGCCCGCTTGGATCAGTTCTCAGAAATGCTTTTGAAAGAGTTTGTTTCCCGGACTCTCCGTAATACGTGGCGCATAGGGTTTGAACGGTTGCGTCAGGTCACCATGGCAGTGTCATAATATGCCACCAGGTTCAATAAGTTAGCCCGTCATATGCCTACTTTGCTTCCTACAGACAGAAAGCGAGTCCACAGACTCTTTAAAGGACTCAATTATGATCGTAAAGTTTTGTACGACTCGGGAGCTACAGCCTGATACTTCATTTCTGCTAGTGGTAGAAATTGCCAAGATATTATAACGTGTTCGGAGTGAGGAAAAAAGGAAACTAAGGAGACCAAGACGTCTCGAGGTTCTGGGGGATTCAGTGGGTTCTACTCTGCGAGTATAAATCTTTATAGCGGGGGCTCGGGCAATCGGCCAGCCCAATCCGCACATCGGATTAATCGGAGTACTCCAGTAAGTTCTTTTAATGCACCACTGACATGAGTTTCCTACAATGGTTATTCAAGTTATCTGGCACAGACTCAGTATGAGCAGCCAACCCGCAAAAGGGGTTGTTATGAATGTGGTGATACTAGGCACATCATGAGAAAATTGTCCAGACTTGGGCGAGACATATTTCATCAAAGCACTCAGGCTATGTGCCACATTGCAGTTACTACACCACCCACATGACCAGTTAGGGGTGGAGGACAGGCGGGTAGAAGGCGTCCTAGAGGTGGAGGCCCAGCCGTTGACATATTTATTTTATGGTATGGCAGAGGTCGCTACATCAGATGGTGTCATTACGGGTACGGCCTCGATTTAATGTAAAGGAATAATTTTCCTACCTTGATTCGGTTCTGAGTATCGAGACGAGTCCTCCTATTGTGCTCCACTTATGAGTGAGCTTCGTAACTCTATAATCTACTTATGTGTTTACTCATGTTGGGAAATTCTATGGAGATAACTACGCCTATCATTTCGTGTTAGTCACTAATAAGAGCTGTGAGGCTAAAGGTGGCTTTCTGTTACTCATTTCGGTAAGTTTTGATGTAATTTTCAGATAATTAATTACAAATTGTGAATTATATGCCCTACCGATGTGTGGTTCATTATGTGTTGTGATTTTATGTAACCGAAATTATTTAAAGGGAGAAAATGGAAATTTGGGATTGGCACGATGTGCATATTACTTGTGATTTAGAACTGAGGATGGGATCCTCGCATTTTAATATAAATTGATATATTTAAATCGGTCTACGAGCTGCGGTGGAAGTTATATAAAGACGAGATCCTTGTAAGGAAAATTCTTGTGTTTATGTTCTCCCTTGTGAAATTAAATTTGTACTATAGCAATAATAGGGAGTCATGCCTGTTAGGCCTATTTGAAAATTCTTGTATGAAATTCTCTTTGCATACTTGCCAAATTCGTGTTGTAATTATTGAGTTTTAACCTACGAGGTAGGTGCCTGCCCAGGTGGCGTTAAATGTGACTCATTAATTCGGGTAAATAATTATGAGGTCTTCATACTTCGCATCTCGTTATTAGTATTGTGAATGTTTGAAACAAGATTTTTGTTAACATGAAGTTAATTGACGATTCTGTAATTGATTATGAACAACTATTACGACCAGATTGACCCAGAAGGGTGCCCTATTTAGATGGTCAGACGAGTGTGAATTGAGCTTTCAGAAGCTCAATACTGCTTTGACTACGGCGCCAGTGCTGGTATTACTAGGGGTGGGCATTCAGTATTTCGCTTCGGTATTTAAGAGTTTCGGTTCGGTATTTCGGTATTCAGTTTATCAATTGTATATACCAAATACCGTACCAAATTATTTCGGTACGGTTCAGTATTTTTTATTTTGGTTCGGTACGATTTCGGTACGGTTTCAGTTTAATAATCGCTAAATAAGCAACACTAACGATTAAGGACTAAGGAGTGCAACAATTCACAATTCAAACTAACTTGGTCAACCCTCTTTGACAACGTTGTCGCTAACAGTAAGTAGTTAAGCACCTTTATTTCCTTTGACAATTCACAATTCACAATTCTAAGGAGTGCAGCTGACGCCTGACAATTTCTTTCACAATTCACAATTCACAATTCAGTGATTATAATTCTCCGTGCAGCTTAAGGTCTAAGGAGTAAGCACAATTCAAGGCAAGAAACAGAAACTGTCTGGACACTAAAAAAAATTATACAACATGGATAAACAGAAACTGTCTTCATTCTTCATAGTGCACATTGCACAATTCAAAATTCTACCTAACTCACACAGTGCAGCAGAATTAAACAAAAAATAGAGATTCTAACAGTGCAACAATAGCAGCAGAATTAAATTAGTCTTAACAGTGCAACAGTAGCAGCAGAATTAAACACAGTGCAATAAAAATAGAGAGGGCATCCCTCAATTCAAGTTTACACTAATAGTCTCGAATCAATTTAGTCTTAATTCTTAAATACGGATATCAGGAAGACGCTCAAGACAACACCTAATATGCTTCCTTAAACAATATGTGCCATCCCTCTTTGGATGAAATTATAGACTGGACCACATTGCTTGCACTTTACTTTGCGAACTTCTCCGTTATCTTCTTTCACCTCAAAGTGTTCCCAAATATGAAAGCGTACTTTAGGAGCACGGGGCATGATTTCACTTGAACCTAAAAAGAAAAAGATAAATCATAAGTTAGAATATTATTTTTTGATGATAATAAAACAAAACTACAAAAGTATATCACCAAACAAATAGAGTATTAAACTTACCACTCAAGTTGCAAGTTGCAACTATACATTAAACAAAGCTAGTAGTGCTTCCATTATTTTCCATATCTAAATATAATTTGACCAAATATGTCATACAAGTAAACAAGTATGATATATTATTTTGAACTAAAATACACACAAAATATTAAAGCTTACCAAGTTTGAGTTCCTCAAGATACTCTAAGTCTTCTTCAACACTAATAGGATTCTTCTCTTCTCTAAGCCAATCTTGAACACAAACAAGAACTTGCACACATTTAGGAGTCAATGAACTCCTAAATGAATCAAGAATACGGCCACCGGTGCTAAACGCACATTCCGACGCCACACTAGAAATTTTAATGGCCAACACATCACGAGCCAACTCCGAAAGAATAGGAAATCTAAGAGCATGTATTTCCCACCAACTTAAGATATCAAATTCTTCACTAAAAGGCTCTTGTTCTTCACTAATGTATTTATCCAACTCCGATTTAGCACCCCCACTTCCATTGTCTTCCTTTTGTTTCTTCAAGTGAAGCTTCGTCCTTATTAATGATACAGTTATAACACTCCCACTAGATGTATTAGATGTGTTATTAGATGAAGTAGAACTAGATGGAGATTGAGGACAAGATCCAGTTGAATACTCTTCAAACAAAGAATTCATATAAGCATACACCTCAGCATTTATTTTCTTCCCTTTTTTCTCCCCAAAAAGCTTTTCAAGTGCAAGGCTAACATATTCAAATTTGTTACGTGGATCCAAGACGGAAGCAATAAAAATTATTTTATTCATCTTTTCAAGCTCACCCCGATACTTCTTGAACTTTTCTTGCATCCGCTCAGCTATTTTTCTCAAATGCTCATCCTCACTAATTAAACACATTTTCAAATGACAATAAAGTTCAGATACATCATCAAAATAAGAATTACAAGTGACATAACGTGAACCTGAAACTTTTTTGGTGAGCTCATGAAATCTTTCAAGAAACTCTATCACATTCCTCACATTCACCCAATCATTAGATTCAAGAGGACCTGCACTACTACCATTTTCACAAAGATGAGAACATTGATAAACAGAAAATCCATCATAAAAAAGATGAAACTTGTCAAAGGCCTTTTCAAAGTTTTGTGTTGTATCCAACATCAAATAGGTGGAATTCCACCTAGTAGGAACATCCAAACACAATGTTTTGGTATATTCTACCTTTACATGTGTACAACACTGTTTAAACTTTAAGGTCCTTGCACGCGAAGATCTCACATACCTCACAATATTTCTAACACGTGTGATAAAAGCATCAATTTCTTTCAAACCATCTTGCACAATTAGATTTAGTATATTAGCCATGCATATCACATGGAGATGTTTACTACTCATCATATTAGTTTTTCATATATCTATCTTTTTAGACAATTCTTTGACTGTGACATCATTTGAAGAAACATTGTCCACGATAATTGTGAACACCTTATCTAATTTCTATTCAAGCAAACAATTAGAAATAGCTTTAGCCATCTCTTCACCCTCATGACTAGTGATAGGTCAAAAATTTAGTATTCTTTTATACAACTTCCAATCCCTATCAATGAAGTGGGCTGTCAAACACATATAATTTATTCTTTGCAATGAAGTCCATGTGTCTGTTGTGAGGCAAAGTTTTGGTTGTGCTTCTTTAAAAGACCTTCTTATATTTTGCTTCAATTCACCGTAAACTTCATAACAATCCATTGTTATTGTTCTACGAGAAGGAAGACGAAATAGTGGTTGAGTTATTCTCATAAACTTCATAAAGCCTTCCTTTTCTACGAAGCTAAATGGTAGTTCATCAATAACTATCATCTCAACTAAGGCCCTCCTAACCACTTCTTGATCAAATTTCCAAAGTGATCCTCCATCATTTTGGCAAGATTAAAAATTTATCTTTGTTTGACTATTATCTTTATGAATGTTAAGTGGGTATTCTTTGCATCTAGCCAAATAATTTTTCAACCCTGTTGTTCTATTCCTAGATGTATTAGCAGCATAAGCTTGCTTACAATATCTACACCTTGCTTTACCGACCCCATTTACCTTAAATTTATCAAAATGATTCCAAACATCGGATTTAGGTTGCATGGCTTTTCTTTTCTTATAATCTTGAGTATCAATTGTGTTGGTGTTGCTATCTTCAGTATTAGGCAAACTTTCAGTTGAACCGACATCACTTACTCTACTTTCATCTGCCATCTATACAAAATTAAAACAAATATAAACACAAATTAAGATTTATATTTCATAACTTCATTCGAGTTGCTATTGCTTAAATGAATCTCTTGTACTTTATTGTGTTTTATTTTTCTCTAAAGTGTGGCATGACTTCCAATGTAATAACTACTTATTAAACTACTTATTAAACAGTGAAGAACTGAATATTCATGACGCTCAACATAGAAAAAAGATCTCAAACAATTAGTAAAAAGAGAAACACACAAAGGGTAGGAATGATGAAATCAAAGTCTACAAGGTCAAAATAGGCATTTTTAATAAGTAAGCTATGCAAACCATCATGTTATCCAACACAGATTAAGTAGCAAGCAAGTGTATATGTATTTGGGGTGAGATTTGATAAGTGAAGGAAAGTTAGTAATTCTGGGCTTCTGGTATATGTATCCATTTGAAGTTTACATCAGTAGATTAGTAGGTGAAACTTCCACGTAATGTATCTCAACATTCATGACGAGCTAGCTTAACATCCACAAGACTTAATTTTACCTTTTATAGCTCAAAAGTTATATGATAAAACTAGTGTAGTTCATTAAAGACATATTATCCAATACTGTCCTGATAACCCAAAAACAATTATTTTCTCTTCCTTATGTGAAAAAAAAAAACTCAAACATTTGTTTATTAGCTTCACCCTTTTGCCCATAATATTTTTGCAACAACTTTTTACTGTGTGTCTTTAGTTTTTTTGTGAAAATGGCTGAAACAGAGCAGGACATTTACCTCAAAAACAATTAAAATGCAGTTATTAAAAGAGCACTCAAAGACCACAAAAGAAGGAGATAAGAACAACCCCACCACATAGATGAAAAAGAAATAGAAGAAGGGTCAATGAAAGCACACAAATCTTGTGCAAAAGACCCAACTTTTTCTTTCCAAGAAAACCCTACCAAGAAAAATCGTTAAAACCCACAAAGACCCAGCAAATTACTAGACCAGTTCAAAAGTGGCTTGCCTAAAAAATAGTACCTGAAGTCTTTACTGTAGAGAAAGATAAAGGAAAAAAACAGTCTTTATTCGAACCAGTTACATCTAATTCATCCAAAAACAGGGAACATCCATTTTTCTTTGAAGAAACTAAAGATACCTTTAAAGAAACTAGAAATATACCTTTGATTCTTTAAAGTCACAGCAGCCGATCTCTTAGTAGTTAGTATTCTCACATCAAAAGTCTTCTGGCGAAAGAAACTATCGTCGTTTCTGACTTTCTGTCTTTCTCCCTTTCTAAATTCTAATTCCCTAATCGGCTAATTCCTAATTGAATGAATCAGATAAGTGAAAGACTAGAGAGTACTGAGTAGGGCCTTATTGGGTTGGGCTGGGGCACTGGGCAATGGGCATTAGATATATAACTTGGACTAGGCACTATAGCTATAGGTCCAACTTAAAATTCAGTATTTTGGTATACCGAAATTTCAAGATCCTAATATCGAGGACCGTACCGTTATACCTAAATACCGAAAATATAATACCAAATTAGACTGAAATACCGAAAAAATCGAAACCGAAATACCCAATTAATTCGGTCCGGTTCGGAATTCGATTTTTCGGATTTTATGCCCAACCCTAGGTATTATCCATAGGTTCAGGATCTTATACGGTGTATTGTGATGCATCTCGCGTTGGGCTTGGTGCAGTATTGATGCAAGATGGCAGGGTAATTGCATATGTATCACAACAGTTGAAAGTTCACGATAAGAATTATCATGTTCATGACTTATAATTGGCAGCCATTATTCATGCGCTGAAAATTTGGAGGCATTACCTTTACGGTGTCTTGTGTGAGGTAATTACTGATCATCGTAGCTTACAATATCTATTCAAACAAAAGGATCTCAATTTGAGGCACAGAAGATGGTTGGAGCTGTTGAAGGACAATGATATCATTATTTTGTATCACTCCGGAAAGGCCAATGTGGTGGCCGGTGCTTTGAGTAGAAAGGTTGTGAGTATGGGCAATCTTGCGTATATTCCGGTTGGTGAGAGGCTGTTAGCTGCAAATGTTCAGACTTTGGCTAATCAGTTCGTGAGGTTAGATGTTTCAGAAATCAGTCGGGTTCTAGCTTACACAGTTGCCCGGTCTTCTTTATATGAGCGCATCAGAGAGCGACAATATGATGATCCTCATTTACTTGTCCTTAAAGACACGGTGCGACACGGTGATGCCAAACAGGTTGTTATGGGGGGAGATGGAGTTTTGTGAATGCAGGATCGTATTTGTGTGCCTAATGTAGATGGGCTTCGTGAATTAATTCTGGAAGAGGCCCACAGTTTTAGGTATTCTATTCATCTAGGTACCACCAAAATGTATCAAGATTTGCGGCAACATTATTGGTGGAGGATAATGAAGAAGGATATAGTTACATATGTAGCTCGGTGTCTAAATTGTCAGCAAGTCAAGTACGAGCATCAGAGACTTGGTGGTTTGCTTCAGAAGTTAGAAAATCCTGAGTGGAAGTGGGAGCGTATCACTATGGATTTTGTTGTTGGGCTCCCACGGGCTTAGAGAAAATTTGATGCAGTTTGGGTCATTGTGGACATGTTGACCAAGTCAGCACATTTCATTCCAGTGGCAGTTACCTATTCTTCAGAACGGTTAGCTGAAATTTACATTCGTAAGATTGTCCGCCTTCACGATGTGCCCGTGTCTATTATTTCAAATCGAGGTACGCAGTTTACCTCACACTTATGGAGGGCTGTACAACATGAGTTAGGCACGTGGATGTTGAGTACATAATTTTATCCACAGACAGACGGACAGTCAGAGCGCACTATTCAGATATTGGAAGATATGCGTCGCGCTTGTGTTATAGACTTTGGAGGTTCTTGGGACCAATTCTTGCTACTTGCGAAGTTTGCCTATAATAATAGCTACCAGTCGAGCATTCAAATGGCTCTATATGAGGAATTACATGGAAGACGGTGTCATTCGCCAGTTGACCGGTTTGAACCGGGAGAGGCTCGGTTGTTGGGTACCGATTTGGTGCAGGATGCCTTGGATAAGGTCAAAATTATTCAGGATCGACTTCGCACAGCTCAGTCTAGGCAAAAGAATTATGCCAACCGTAAGATTTGTGATATTGCATTCACGGTTGGAGAAAGAGTATTGCTCCGGGTTTCACCTATGAAAGGTGTAATGAGGTTCAGAAAGAAGAGCAAGTTAAGCCCTAGGTATATTGGACCCTTTGAAATTCTTGAAAGGGTGGGTGAAGTAGCCTACATGTTTGCATTACCACCTAGTTTATCAGCGGTTCATCCGGTGTTTCATGTGTCTTTGCTCCGAAAATATCATGGTGATCCGTCTCATGTGTTAGATTTCAGCTCTCTCCAATTGGACAAGGATTTGACTTACGAAGAGGAGCCGGTAGCTATTCTAGCCCGGTAGGTCTGACAGTTGAGGTCTAAGAGTTATTCTTCAGTTAAGGTATAATGGAAAGGTCAGCTGGTAGAAGCATATACCTGGGAGTTCGAGTCGAACATGCGGAGTAAATATTCACACTTTTTTACCAGCTCAGGTACTTTTTCTAATTCCGTTAGAGGACGAACGTTTGTTTTAGAGGTGGAGAATGTGATGACCTAAAATATTATCTTTAAATTTAATAATTAATTCTGTGTTCTAAGACCTTAAAAAGCACTATCCATCATTTCTCGACTTGCGTGCACAGTCCGTATAATTTTTCGAAAAGTTTTTATATGAAAAATTGATTAAAATGTGAAATAGAGCCTTAAAACTCAACTAAGTTGACTTTGGTCAACATTTTGAGTAAACAGACTCGGATCAATATTTTGACAGTTCCGGTAGGTCCGTATCGTGATTTGAGACTTGGGCGTATACCCGAAATTTAATTTGGAGGTCCCTAGCTTGAATTATTGCCAGTTGGCTAAAACTAGAAGCGTAAAGGCTTAAAGATTTCACAATTTAACCACAAATTAACTTTTATTGATATTGGGGTCGGATTCGAGTTTTGAAAATCTTCATAGGTCTGATATGTCATTTATGACTTGTCTGTCGAATGTGGTGAGAAACGGAGTTGATTTGACATGATTCGGACGTTCGATTGTGAAAATAGAAGTTTTAAAGTTTTCTTGAAAATTTTATTTGATTTGGTGTCTGATTCGTAGTTCTATGCATTATTTTGGTATTTTGTTTATGCGAGCGAGTTCGTATGAGGTTTTTTGATTTGTGTGCATAATTGGTTGGGAGCCCCGAAGGCTCGGGCAAGTTTCGGATAGACTACGAGTGTTTTGAAACTTAGAAAATTCTAGTTTTTTGCCTTCAGCTGATATGTAGTGTGTTCTTCTTCGCGTTCGCGAAGGTACTCTCGCGAACGCGAAGAGTAAACTGGGGCATGGTGATTTTCTTAATCGCGAACGCGATAACTGGGTCATGAACGCGAAGCAATGGGGGCCTTACCCTTCGCGAATGCGACCAGCTTCCCGCAAACGCGAAGCTTTAGGGACCTGGGGGAAGGGTTAGTCATTCTTCTACGCGAACACGAGCATTGGCTCGCGAACGCGAAGGCCAGGGGGAGAAGCTCTCGCGAACGCGAAAGCCACTCGGGCTGCTACTTATTGCAAACGAGACAGGCCCTTCACGAATGCGAAGAAGGCCTGGCGCCCAGACCTTAAAACAAAACCAAAATGGGATATTTCCCATTTTTCGCAAACCCTCAATTAGAACTCGGTTTAGGGGCGATTTCAAAGGAGTTTTTCAGGATTTCGAACTAGGTAAGTGTTCTTTAACATATAGTGATTTTATTTCATAAATTCATTTATTTCTGATTTAGATGGGAGAAATTGGAGTTTTTGTAAAACTTTTCAAAAACGAAAATTTAAGATTTGAAGTCCATTTGACATCGGAATTTGATAATTTTTGTATGGTTGGACTCGTCTCGGAATGGGTGTTCGGATTTCGTAAGTTTTTTCGAGATTCCAGACTGGGTCCCACTGATAATTTTTTAGATAAATTTCGGATTTTAATTCGGAAAATTAGTAAATTCATATGGAATTAATTCCTACGATTTATATTGAGTATATTGATTTGTTTATGAATAGATTTGAGGATTTCGAATATGAATTCGCGAGGCAAAGGTTTATTGAATTCTTGAATTTGGTTGCAAAGCGAGGTAAGTATCGTGGTTAACCTTGACTTGAGGGAATAGAACCCTTAAATTAAGTGTTATGTGAAATGCAAGTGAATGGCGTATGGGCAAGGTGACGAATGTCTATACACCGTCAAATTAACTGTTTGCACAATTGCTTGAAAAATCACAAATCGTTTTAAATCATGAATTAATTACTATATTAATTGTTTCTCTCGTGTTCTTTGCTCAATATCATGCCTTGAATCCATGCTATAATTGCTACATGCTTATTTGATTTATGTGACTTAATTTCTACTTGACGTTTAGCATACTAATTATTAAAATGCCTATTACATCCTTAATTTCCACAATTATTTGCTACTTGTCATCACTTATTTCTAATAAATCAGAATTATTGTATGCTTGTTGTCTTATAATTTCATATTAATTATTGCATTTATTGGAGTAATTTCTTTTATAAGAATTGATAAATAAAAGTGAATATATTTGAGGAATGGGTTGCACGCTGCAACATAATTGATTGAAGTGAATATATTGGAGGAACGGATTGCAAGCGGTAACAGAATTGATTGAAGTAATTATATAGGAGGAACGGGTTGCACGCCGCAACAGAATTGATTGAAATGAATATATTGGAGGACCGGGTTGCACGCCGCAACAGAATTAATTGAAATGAATATATTGGAGGAGCGAGTTACACGCCGCAACAAAATTGATTGAAGTGAATATATTGGAGGAACGGATTGCAAGCGGTAACAGAATTGATTGAAGTAATTATATAGGAGGAACGGGTTGCACGCCGCAACAGAATTGATTGAAATGAATATATTGGAGGACCGGGTTGCACGCCGCAACAGAATTAATTGAAATGAATATATTGGAGGAGCGAGTTACACGCCGCAACAAAATTGATTGAAGTGAATATATTGGAGGAACAGGTTACATGCCGCAACAAAATTGATTGAAATAAATATATTGGAGTAGCGGGTTGCACTTTGCAACAGAATTGGTTGAAATGAATATATTGGAGGAGCGGGTTGTACGCTGCAACAGAATTGATTGAAAAGATATATTGAGATCGGGTTGCATGCCGCAAGAGAATTGAATATGAATATATTGTGGGATCGGGTTGCATTCCGCAACAGAAATTGATCGAAATAATAATTGGTTATGACTGCTGAGTTGACTTCAAC